CTCCCTCCCCCTCTATTTCTCCCTTCCTTTCCCTTCCTTCCCTCCCTCCCTCTATTTCTCTCCCTTCCTTCCTTCCTGCCTTCTTTCCTTCCCTCCCTCTATCTCCTCCTTCCCCTTCCCTTTCCTCCTTCCCTTTCCTTTCTTTTCCTCCCTCCCTTCCTTCCTGCCTTTCCTCCCTCCCTCTCTCCCTTCCTTCTTTCCTAACTTCCCTCCCCTCTGTTTCTCCCTCCCTTTTTCCTCCAGCCCCTTAGACTCATGTTGGGCTCCCAATTCAAACCACCAATTTTCTATTTTTGGTCTTCTCCCCCCCCCCCCATAAAAAACCCACATCAGTTTCCAACCTTTCAAGAAAAAATCATCATCATCATCGTCATCATCCTGTCCTTCTGGGGTTTCTTTCTTTCTTTCTTTCTTTCTTTCTTTCTTTCTTTCTTTCTTTCTNTCTCTCTCTCTCTCTCTCTCTCTCTCTCTCTCTCTCTTTCTGTCTCTCTCTCTTCCCCTCGCCAACCCTTTAACCCTTTTAACAATCTTTAAGCCAGGACCCAGGAGATTAAAAAGTTCAGCCTGATCTTCTGGGTTAAAAAAATCAGGGAGGAGTGTGACAAACTGCAAGAGCGCGCAAGCTTTTTGTACCCCTGGTTTAGCCTGTGAATGTTCTCACCTCTTTAGGAATGGTGCATTTAGAGTGTGGGTTTTTTTTAAATTTTCAATATCAGGCACTGTTCAAAAGGTCTGGACTTCAATTCCCAGAATTCTCCAGCCGGATGTGCTTGGGGTTTTTGTTTTTTTTCCCCCCCTCCTCTCCCGCTCTCTGAGAGATTGGAGCGAAAGGGATTGGGGAGAAAGAGAGCAAGCAGGGACACATCTAAAGGACGGTGTCCTCGCCAGGGAATTCTGGGAGTTGAAGTCCAACCTCTTCAAAGGTGTGCCCCTCAGGTTGGCAAACGCTGGCATAGAAAGCTGGAAACCACAATGCACGGAAGGCATCCCTCCTCCTTAAAATTGCGGGACGTTTGCGATGGTTAAAACCCGTTTCCTAGAATATTATTTTAGCCGCCGTCCTTTTCACTCATTCCTCTGTTTTTCTCTTCCTGCGTTGTGCTAATCGTTCGAGAGAGTTTTCTCTGTTGGCTGGGGTTCATTTCAATGTGACAAACAGGTTGCTTTATGGACTCTGGAGTCTGCCCAAGCCCCATCATCCCCTCCCACCCCGTAAGGATAATTTAAGGAGCCTGCCTCTTTCTCTCACACACACATGCTTGCATGCAACTTCTACTTCTTCTGAAGCAATTCCGTCCCGCCTTACAAGGTTGTTGGTAAGATTGCTGTCTGTGGGTCAGTGGTGAGAATCAAAAAACTTAACAACCGGTTCTCGGTCTTCATGATTTCTTCCAACAAACCAGTTTGCCAAACTGCTCAGAAAGTTAACAACCGGTTCTCCCCGGAGTGGTGCGAACCGGCTGAANAGAAAGAAAGAAAGAAAGAAAGAAAGAAAGAAAGAAAGAAAAATAAAGAAAAGAGAGAGAGAAAGAAAGAGAGAGTTAAATAACGAAAGAGAGAAAGAAAGAGGGAGTTAAAGAAGAAAAGAGAGAGTAAGAAAGAAAGAGAAAAAAGAAAATAGAGAGAGAGAGAAAGAAAAAAGAGAGAAAAGAGATAAAGAAAGAGAAAATGAAAGAAAAAACAGAAAGAAAGAAAGAGAGAGAAAGAAAAAGAAAGAGAAAGAGAGAGAAAGAAAGAAAAAGAGAGAGAGAAAGAAAGAAACAGAAAGAAAGAAAGAGAGAGAAAGAAAGAGAAAGAAAGAAACAGAAAGAAAGAAAGAGAGAAAGAAAAAGAGAGAAAAAAGAGAAAGAGAGAGGGAAATAGAAAGAAAAACAAAGAGATAAAGAAAGAAAAAGAGAAAGAGAGAAAGAGAGAGAGAAAGAAAGACAGAAAGAGAGAGAGAAAGAAAGAGAAAAAAGAGAGAGGAAAAGAGAAAGAAAAACAAAGAGATAAAGAGAGAGAGAGAAAGAAAGAAAAAGAGATAAAGAAAGAGAGAGAGAGAGAAAGAAAGAAAGAAAGAAAGAAAGAAAGAAAAGCCATTCGCACATGCTCTGGAGCACCAAGGCATTGCATCTTCCCCGTGGGACACTCCGCTCTCGGTTGTGAGTGAGCCCCAGCTTCGTCGACGCCACATTTCCTAGATTTAACTAGCCATCGGCGAGGCATGCTGCTAGTCCTCATCAAGGAGGCTGGCCTGTTTAGCAAGGCTTTTAAGGGTCGCTTCTTAATCGGTCGCCTCTCTGCATTTCTGGGTTGGATGCTGGCAATGTTGGGGGGGGGGTGTCTTCGATCTGGGCGTAAGACACCCCCCCCCCCGGGCTGTCACACCCACAATTTTTAGATGCTCCGTTTGACAGCCTGTCTCAAAAATCTTTTGCAGAGAACAGGAAAAGATGCTTGAAGCCACCTTGAAAGGATCGAGTGGGAGGGAAATAAATCTAATTTGGAAATCGCTAGAAATTTCCTGTTTGCTGTTCAATCTAAGATTCCTTGACTGTTTTCTTCAAGCTGGCTAGCTCGGAGATTCTACTTAACTCAGTTTCGGGGTTCGGCTACCCAAAAGACATTCAGAGCGATGCTGGTTTGTTTGCTTCCCCCCCACCCCCACTGTAAAATATTTCACCCTCCCTTTTCGCGGGAAATTCTCCCCCTTTTCAAAGGCCTTGATTACCAGATGTTTTCCGCCGTGGGAAATCGAGAGGGGTTTTCGAACAGATGCAGGAATGGAAATAAACTTTGATTTGATGTAGGTTTCGATTTCCTAAGTTTTTATTTCGGACAGGTTACAGGAGAGAGAGAGAGAGAGAGAAAGAAAAAGAGAGAAAAACGAAATGGAAAAAATGAACCGTCTATTCTCATTTCAAATCACACGTCAGATTCTCGGATAAAATCCCAGAGTCACAAAAAGAATCTGAATAACCTCTGGCCACGTGCAGAGTGGAGGTTTTTTTTTTAAATCTTGCCACCCCCCTAAAAAATAACCCATCGGTTTTTAGCCCAAAAAAAATGGAGAAAAATGGAGAAATCAATAACGCAGCTTAGACGGATAATACAGACTTACGCCACTTCACTTAGTGGCCATCTAAAGTTACGACGTCACTGAAAAAGGGGACTTTTTAACCGCTGGCCTGTAATTATGACGGTTGCAGCCTTCCCGGGGGGTAGGAGAAGCCACACTCACTTAACAACGCTTAGCGACAGGAATGTTGTCGTAAGATGAGGACTGTCTGTAATTTCTTTTCATTATTGCAAAATTGTGCCTCTGGCTTGTTTCTGGAGGCTTCCCAGCGTGGGTTGATCCCTCTTTTAATATTCAAATTCGCACCTCCATTCTAAATCCTTCTGGTGCAAAAAAAAATCGGCGCGTTTTTTTTTCTCCGATTCGGTTCGATCCTTTTGCAAAATTCCCAAGAGTGAATTTTGCAAAATCCCGAGAATGTTTCTCCGCTTGGGAGAACCGATTTAGTTGAGTTGGAACAAGAGGGATGGAATTCAACCTGTTTTTCTAGGTTTCTCAAATGCTAACTTGATATATATTTTTGGGGGGTTATTCTCTGTCCAGTAGGGTTGATGGGCCAAGAATTCTACCCTTAAGTGGGTTGGACTAGAAGACCTCCAAGGCCCCTTCTTTTGTTGGCGTTAAATCTGCAGGATTTCACATTATATCTCAACCTTAGCAACTCGCAGTGGAGTTCAACGCCCAGAATCCCTTAGCCGCCACGCTGATGGTGGGTATTCCGGGAATTGAAGCCCACCCAACTTAACGTTTTTTGCTCCGGTTAAGAAACACGGGCTGCGTTCAACTTCGGTTGTACGAAGAGGCAACAGAAGGAGAGAGAAATCCCCCCCCCCAAAAAAAATGTGTATGGAGATGCCTCCTGGCTCATCCCCAAAATCCATCCTTTTACTCTTTCTTGTCGGGCGAAAACCGGGTCAGGATTTAGTTCTGAGAGGGAGGGAGGGAGGGAGGGAGGGAGG